CTGATTTTGAGGGTGAAGCACACTGATGCACACCCACGAGATGGTGCTGCCAGTGGTCTGTTACATGGCAGGATCAGATCTCTGCTCCCATTTTCTTTTAGCTGCTTCACAGCGCAAAGAAGGGTCTCAGTGGGACTGGGAGACCCCAGCCCAAGCCAACAGTGCTGCTTGGAGCTGCTCTTTTCAGGTCTGTAAGGAAGACCCAGGCGGTGCAAGGCCAGCTGAAGGCAGCCCTACCTCACCAACAAGTTGGGCTTGGGGCTCTCTGTACTCAGCATCCCCAACGTGCCCATCTCTGCTGCTCTGCGGGCAGACAGCTGCTGCTCCGAGGGCAGAGCTGCTGTCGCCGGGGAATACAAATGAACAAAATCACTGCTTTGGCAAAGGATTTGTAGGGGAACGACATGCAAATTTACCTTCCATTCCGAGTGTGGATGGGCATTAAAATACAGCGTTTGAAAGCCAAAACAAAGGAACATTTTAATTTAGGACTCATGAGGCGGTCCCTTCTGCTTGGATTTGCATCAAATCCTTTGCAGCAAAAGCTGTAAGTTTAACAAAACTCAAAGAAAACGAGAAAAAGTTCTAAAAATGTCATCCAGTTCCAAGGATTGTCACTTCTTTTGTGCAGCAACCGGCTTGCTACTGGATCCCATAGAGGCCAACAGGGATGGGTGTTGTGAAAGGCAAAGGATGGGCGTTGGGTTTCTTGGCTTTAACGTGGCTCCAGCACAGTCAGCCTGGGGGACAGCTGGGTCAGGGGACCTCGGGGTGCACCCAGAAGACCATAACACTGGGTGGGGAGTGAGCAGACAATGGGGGGCTGCACTGTGGGATGTGTCAAGCCGCTTCCCAGCCTTCACTATCAACACCTCACATCCCAAACCCGCGCTCGGAAACAGCTGCACTGCTCATCTGACCTCGCACAGAAGGTATCTCCGTCCTTCTCCCCACGCTTTCCCTTCTCCTCTCACCCTTGGGGCCACCCGCCTGGTGTTGTGGGTCAGAAATAGACAGCATCCCCCGACTCACTACTCGTCATACATCCCAATAATGCCGGCTATAATTAGCTGCAAGTATCAAAGCTGTGCTGCTGGAGGAACTTTTTGCAGCCCCATTATCATCCTTTAAACAGAGGATCTCACACGGGGCCTCGTCCATCCGTGGTCCAGCTGCCCCTCCCCATGTGCCTGGGGGTGAGCTGCCCACAGTTGGCCCCGGGGCTGCAGTGCCATCAGGCCTCGTAGTAATCGCATTAATCACACTAATCATGTTAATCATGGCTGAATCAGCACCACCGGGGGGGCATGGAGGGACCAGGGGGGATGTGGGGCTGGAAGGAGCAGTGAGCATCTATCCCTGAGGCTCTGAGCATCCCACCCAACTGCCCGCCTGCAGCGTGTGTGAGCAGCACTGGGGGCTCAGGAGGTCCCGTGGGCATCTGTCACCTCTGAGGCCATCACCGCTGGGGACTGCTGACTGAAGCCATTCCCTGAGCCACCAGAACAGCCCAGCAGTGTGAGGGGCTCTTGGGTCACCTGCCCCAAACTGTGTGTGGGGTTTGGTGAGAGCTGGGGCCGCTCTCAGTGCCGCTGCCTTCTGCTGCTGATGGAAGAGGGTGGCAAAACAAGGCATGCAGGGATCAGGGCCTCTGGGGGCACGAGCGGGCTCAGGACACGTCATGGCATTGGAGTGTGTGTGCTTAGCCCTGGGCCCCCTCCCCATGCCCAGTCCTCATGCCCAGCCGCGCAGGCTCCCTGTTATGTAAAGCACCGACAGGCGCGACCAGGAGATTCTTCAGTGTCGGAATCTGAGTCACATGGGGCTGTTTTATTTCCCCCTCTGCTAATCTCGTTTCTATAGAAACAAGATTGAGAGGAAAAAAAAAAAAAAAAAGAAAGAAAGAAAGAAAGAAAAAAAAAAAAAAAAAGAGCGGAGCGCAGAGCCAGCAGGATCCTGAGGTGATGGGTGAGGGAGGCGGAGGTGGCAGCTGGGAGCGGGGCAGCGGGGCTGCGCTCCCGGCCGGGATGGGAGCGTGCGTGCTGCTGTGTGCGGAGAGGGGATGGGGATGGGGATGGGGATGCTGCCGGGGAGCTGTGCGCGGGTGAGCGCTGCTGGCTGCTGGCAGAGCGCGAGGGGAAGGCGGAGGAGCGGTGCAGGTGAGTGCGCATCCCGCGGGCATCGCATCCCTCCCGGCGCGGCACCGTGCGCGGCCCACCGCTCCTTTCCGTGGCCGCTGCTCTGGGGACTCGCTCGGTCGTGCGGGGCTGAGGGCGGGATGGGGTCTGCTGGTGCTGTGCTCGTGTTTGACGCTTGCCGGGGGCTGCGTGCGTGCAGCCGTGGGTCTGTGCGTGCTGCCTCTCTGAAAACTTCTGCCTGCTCGGGAGGTGGTTCTTTTTCTCCTTTTTTATTCTGACTGCACCCGTGCAAATAAAGCGCTTCCAGGAGCCCAACTGCTCTGCTGAGAGGGGTGCGGGAGCTGTGCCGGCTCCTGCCCTCTGTCCTTTCCCCAGCACGGGGGATGAGCCCAGCTCCGAAGCTGGTTGTGCAGGGACCGTTCCAGGGGGAGGCATAGCGAAAAGCGCTGCTTGTCGGGTGCTGCGGAGTGCCTACAGCCTCCTCATGCCCCACCCTGGTGCTTGGCTCGCCCGTCCCTGCTCCGGGGGATGCTGGCTGCCTTGCAGGAGCGGGGTCAGTTCGTCACTTCATCCAAGCACGTGCTGTGTCTCGGACCAGCGAGTGCAACAGGTGGGAGCTGCTCCTGCCGTGGCTAAGATGTCTCCCTCGCTGCTGCATGGCTGCCTCGAGCCCTCATGCAAGGTGCTGGTGAGGGGCTGGGCTGTGGGCAGGGGGTGCTGCTGGTGCCACCTGCGTTGGCTGCTCCTAGTGGTTTCAGGTGCTCCGGGTGCCTTGTTGCCTTTCTGCAAAGGCCCTGCAGGCTGGGGACAGAGCAGGCACAGGAGCTGCTGCAGAGAGGTGCTGACTGTGCATGGCCCTCACGTGCACCAAGCTGTGATTTCATGGGGAGGGGGGTAGCTGCTTTTCCCCCTCACCCCTCCCCCTCCCTCCCCACATCCCATTGCCTTCACTGCCAGCCTGCTCCACTGCAATATTCTAAGGGAAGGGACAAGCCACGGCTCGGTGGTGCTGCTGCAGGAATCTCCAGGGCTGATAATTATTTCTGGGAAAAAGATGCTGTGTTCGGACTTAAACGCTGACATGGGACTCTGAACATGTGTAATCTGGCTGACAGATGGCAAGTCAGAGAGGTGTGATTTATGATACAGCACAGTAGCTGAACAACCTCCTCTGGTTGTCAGGAGACGGCTCTCCCCATCGCTGCGGTTGATGTTTCAATTGATGGCTCTCCCTGCACGTCCCTGGCTGGTGGCAGGTTTGGCAGGAGCTGGGCCAGGATGGTACCAGTGCTGCTGGCAGGAGACAGACACACTTTGCTGGTCAGTGCAGCCTGTAAGGGGATGGGGCTGACAGCCAATGGTGAGCCGGCCTCACTGCATGGCCTCTGTGCCTCGATTTCCCTGTCATTATCATAATGTGAATTAAGGGACGAGGGGCAGCTGTTTATGGAAAGCACCTGGGAAGTGGATGTGTGTGACAGCAGCATCCCTGCTGTGCCAGTGTTCTCCCAGAGCTGGGCACAGACCTAGCAGTGTCCCAGAACCAGAGCTCAGGGGACTGAGGGTGCACCCAGCATGGATCCTGTGGGAGAGGAGAGGGGGCATGGTGCGGGTTTGGGCATGGTGTGCATGCAGCCAGGGCAGAGCAGGTATGATTCATTCTCTCTTCCGCAGCACCGTTTATGTAAAGCAGTGCTGTATAAATAGCCAGATGATACCGTAATGTGCTCCTGAATTTCTAAATAGAAAAGGAAATGAAGTCTCTGTTGGTCTGGTGGCCTCAGCACGTGTGGTCACCCAGCTCCAGCATGGCCCCTCTCGCCCCTCATGGGCACCGTGCCCCCAGTGCCAGCAGCATCCCTGCATGCCCACATCCTGCTTCCTGCTGTGCCCCTGGTCTCCTGCTCCCAGGCTGCCCCATGCCTCTGCTCAGAGCCCTCTGGGCACCTCTCCCTGTTCTCCCTATGCCCACCCACATCCCTTGGCTGCACCGAGTCTGGGAGAGGATGCAGGCCGAAGTACCGGCTGCACAGAGCCAATGGGAGTGCATTCCAGGCAGGTCCCACAGCTCCCAGACCCCTCGAGAGCAGTGATGGGCACAGAGCATTGCTCCTCCCAGCTGTGACACGGCCCCAGAGAGGCTGCATCTGCAGCAGCTCTGCTCCCAGTGCTCCCATGGGCACTCCTCACCCCGTGCCTTCCCTGCAGCGCTCTGAGGGGAACGCTGGGGTTTGCATTTCTGCTTGGTTTCTTTAAAGGCAAACCTCATCCTTTACATCAAAGTAGTGTTTCTTCCCAAGAATGTGAGGAATGACCCTGGAAGGGCTGACCAGCTCTTTCCCGGCGGTGATGGCGGAGACGAGCGCCTGCTCCAGAAAGCTGTCTCCACCCCGTCCCAAGCAACAGCAATTCATAAGCTGAAAAATAAATCAATAACCAGAGTTAATGAATTGAAGATGTCTGTGTTTAAAATGTATCAGGAAAAAAACTGTTAGCTGCTCGTGGTTTATTTAATTATCGTAAGGAAAGAGCGAGAGCTCTTATTTCTGAGAAGTCCCTTCTCTTTATGTTACTGTGTTTTAAGAGGTATCTGGTCAGCGGGACAGCTCAGCACCCCAGAGAACAGCAGCATTGGCTCTGGCAGAGTGTGGCAGTGCTGGTGCTGGGCAGGGGCTCAGCTTTGTGCCACTGCTGCAGCCCTGTGGGGCTGACATTGGAGCCAAAGCACTGTTCAGCCTCTGCTGCTGTGCTGCGGTGCTGCTGTGCTGCCCGCTCCGGTGCCCCTTGCAGCCCCCTGCCCCTTGCAGCCCCCAGCACAGGTAGCTTCAGTGACATTAACTCCTTTCCTCTCCCCTTCCTCAGGTCGGAAAGCAGCCTCTCTAGGTTTGCCCACCGCTTGTCGGTGAAGCAGAAGCAGGAGAAGAGAAGGAAAGCTGAGTATGGCTCGGCCGAGCTGTCTGCCTTCCGGCCCAGGTCTCTGAGCATTGAATGGTAAGAGCTGCAGGAGGGGGCTGGGGGCAAGCAGCCTCCCAGCCCCCTCCTGCCCCCTGTCCCCACTCTGTCTGTGCGTTGCCCCATGGGATAACACCCTTCAAACCATCACCCCACTGCAGGGGTGGCGGGCAGCCCCAGATGGGCTCCTGCTGTGTGGGGTGAAAGGAGAGCAGCGAGATGGGCATCCATCGGGGCTGGGCAGCTGTGAGCCCGCTGTGTTGGGTCCCAGCCCCGGGGGTGTGGGGCTGCCCCCTCCCCACGCTCAGCCCAGCTCCACCTCAGCTTGCTGAGCTCTCATTCAGCAGCCTTGGAAGCAGATCACAGCCGGCCCTCCCTGCGCTGGAGGTGACCTGCTAAGGATATTTTAGAGAACTGGAAATTGCATTGCTCTCTGCTTCTCTGCTTCCTTAGATGGAGAAAGGAGGGTAAAGCTTAAAAAAAAA